TTACTAAGATTAGAATACACTCCTAATGATTTTTCATTTATTAAATTTAATCACAATATAAGCATTTTATAATGTAAAGTAAGAGTAATGTTTAAAGACTAAAAATACTTCTTACCTATTAAATGTTTTAGTGGACTTCAGACCAGACTTTCAGTACCTGTGATTATACTGAATGTATGATACACTCTTGGAAGCATTTCTAGAAATCGTAAAATTAAATATCATAAAAATACAGTTCCTTTGTACAATAAGGGCTAAAGCTTTTCTTTAGGTGAGTGGAAACACATGTCAGAGTGATGACACATTTTCTTTCCAAGGATGACCAATTTTTCTGGGAGCCATTTTGTTATCATGGTTAAACAGTTCATGTTCATTGGCCAAATAATAAAACTTGTCCTCCTTGCTTTAGATGTCATAAAAAACTATGCGATTGTTTTGGATGTTAAAAATTCTGCATGTAATTATTCTTGTCTAATAATCCTCCTGAAGAGAAAAATGTCTGGAAGAAATTATTATTTTTATGCTTTTCATATTTTCTGTCAGTCTGCATAGCTTGTTGCTCTATTTTTAGACTTACAGTTTCCTGTTACTTCAGTGACTCGCTGTTGAGCTGAACAGATCACAAATGTTGGCTGCCAAGTAACTTAAGACTGAAGGTGACTTAAAACTAGAATGGATGAATATCATAGTGATCATCATAATTTTAATTGCTGATAAATGGGGAAAGATATATTTTTTCTCCTTACTAATATGCTTAATAAAAACGTCACAGTAATATTTACTAAGTCATACTAAATCTTTCAACATAGAAGGCACTTCAGATGACATAAGAAATTATTTTCTTTTTTCTTTATTTATATTAGGAAATAAATTTCTTTCTTCTTTAACTAATATCCGAATTGCCAAAGATGAAAGAGGAATTCGTGTCTGAAGCCAGTCTGGAATTCTGAGTTTGCTGAACCAGTTTGTTAAAAATTCAAGAATTCAAGGATTTCTTTGCTCCTCTTAGGAACCAGCAGGGTTTTAAACCTTAGTAAATCTCAAACATTCCTAAGAGGCAAAGAAATAAATACAGCGTTGTCATGTGGTGGAAACTTCAGAATATATGTCTCATGCAGTGTATATATCTGTTTAATGAGGGAAGGCCTGCTTATGTTTTCTTTTCCTGTTTTTGTGTTGGTTTCACGACTGCTGCCTGATTCATCAAAAAATTGAATTCAGCAGAGACATCCAGCAAGAAACATAATTTCGTTATGCCACAGGAGGCTTCCTATAACTGCATTTTACAAAATCATTCACATCTTCGTGTTACAAACAAAAAAAGGCTTGCAGGCCTTCCTCCCCCACGCCCTCCAGTATAGCTGTATAAGGCTCCTATTGTCTCTGCTCATATTGAAATGTCACAGATGTGTTCACTCTTCTGGGTTCTTTTCTCACATGAAACTCTAATGACCATTCCTCCTTTGATTCCTTTCTCAGGCAAATTGGCATACAAAACGAAATTTAGGTCACAAATAATGTTTAGATTATTCTACTTGAGTGACTGGAAGATTTAGCTGCCAGTATTTGTATATACTGGAAAAAACTATGGCAAAATATGGCAGAAGATGTTCGACTTAAAAACGTCACCAAAGGAGTGTGCAGTTTTAGTGTGAAATGTAAATGTACAGTTAAATTTTAAAGCTATATTTATGCTAAAGGCAGGTGTGCTCATCTGTGCTGTTAAAACAACTAGGAGTATTAGGAATGACTAATTTTAAATAAATACTTTTTATTTTATGTATTTAAATTGCAATATGAACATAGATATTTTTGCTATGACTGCTAGGATTTGAGATTAGCAACCTTCAATAGCATATTTCCTGTCTGTCAGAAGAGTGAATTTAGATTTTAGATCTTATCGAAGATGTAGATTTCCTTGAAGTACAGGGAACACCACATGCATTTCATCTCTTGTTTCCATATATTGAGATGTCATGGTAGACAATTTGTATTTGCTGGGGAACCGTATTAGTTCCACTAATATGCAAATGGTTCAGTTGAGCAAGTAGCAGCAGTGCTCTTCCATTCATTAAAAATTATTTTGCTATAAGCAAACATTTCTTTTTTTTTCCTGGTCTTGAGATAAGTTATTTATGTATAGAAAATGCAGCATTTACAGAAACAGGAAACTGTTCTTTATTTCTCACTGCATGTCTTGTACCAACACCCTTTTATGTTTGCCTACTTTATTTATTACCCAGCACTCAAAAGGTAAAAAACTGTTGATGGGGCATAATTTCTAGTTGTTTTATAGGATTCTGAGATTAAATTAAACATTTAGCTAAATTATTTAAGATGCTTCTCGTTATTGAATTCTGTTCCTTCGAATACACGTGCCCTTGAAAGTATTGTGTATTTCAGCCGGCCTCAAATTCATGCCTGCACACCTCCCAGTTTCTGGCACTTTTTTTTTTTTCAGAGGGGGATCAGTGTTTTTCTGTTCAGTACTAGAGGTTTGGTAGTGTGAAATGCTGTGGTTTTTGGAGCTGCCTTTCTTTCAGTATTTAGGAAAAAGGACTGTAATTATTGTGAGAGTGTTGTTACAGAATATAATAGTGATGTTCTGTTGTTTCCTACTAGTTATGTAGTTGGAAGTCCCACTGTAGTAACCCAGACATCACATCCTGTTTCTTTCTTTCTTTCTAGTATTTGAGCTAAAGATTTTTCTGTTTCCACATATGTATATATTCAGTAAATATTAAGTGGGTTTTTTTTAAATAACTGTTTATCACCTCATTTTGGATACCAGTCTTTAAGGACTTACTTATGTTAAAAACATTGTAAAATATATTCTACAACAACTCAGCTGAAGCCCTCAGCTATAATCAAAGCCCAAATTACCTCTTCCAGCAGAGTGTTCTGGAAATTAGTCAGGATTGAAGATCCCCCTTCAATATTATCTCGGCTGGCTGTGTTCGAGCATAGCAATTCTCACTGCAAATCATGCAAATGAGTGGCGTGACTGCATCATGCCCAACTGCCTTTTCCTTACAAAGCTGCATCCTGCACAAACTCACCTAGCCAGGTAAGCTCTCACCTGTTTCCAGCTGCATTCTGAGGCTGATAATGCAGCTCACGTATCCTGGGAGCTGGGATGAGATGTGATGGCCACTTCACCACAGTGACCAGTTCCTCCAAGTGTTTGCCAGTGTGTGGTGAAGGCAGAAGGATTCAAAATAATCCTTTTTATAACTTTGTGTTCACCAGGGTCCCACTTTTCTCTGTCATACATTTTGTTTGCTGTTAGCATGGTCCTGGCAAACCTGGGTGCCTAGGAAACAAATTAACAAGTAATGACATTCCAAAAATAGATCACACACGTTATTTATCAGAGGAACAGGACACAAACTCCAAAAATCTTCCATCTCTTTAACAAAAAGTGTCCTGCCATTATTAATAAGTGCAAAGTGAAAAAGGCTCAAGTTGATTGTCATGGCTGAGAAATAGCCCAGGAGTGCATGGTGTTTACTGAACATAAACACTGCAGGGGAATTGGTAAATGAAACTTGACAAGGTCTGAAAAATGAGTATCCCCAAGATGGAATGTATAATATAGAATGAATGTGTGCAAAATTAACAATATTTAATACGTGGCAATAAGGTGTGCTTCACTGGCATTATAGATGGCAACTTTTTTTATTTTTTTTTTTTTTTTTTTACCTGGACGTCCTGATTCAGTGAAGTCTCTGAGTAATTATTACCTAGTAAATCACCTTTTTGTCTGTGGGAGGAATGTAGGAGGGAGAAAGAGTTGAGAATGATCAAATGCCTGTGTTTTGGAATAGTATTTTACTAGTTACTGTACTGATGGGGAAAGTGCTGGAATAGCACAGTGGTATATTAATATAACTAATATAATTTCCAGTGTGCTTCATAACATAAGTACAGGTGCTTTCATCTTAAATGGTAATGAAAGACTTTTTAGTATGAACTGTTTCTAGTATATGAAAAGCTCTTTATTTACTCAGTGTACATGAGTCTCTGTTTCAGTCGTTTGCTACATTGCACAAAGCTGTAGTAAAGGTTCAGTGGCATTTTTTTATCTGCTGCATTTGCCCCTCCCTTAGAGGTTTAAAATATGTGGGTCTTGTGCACTGTAATTTAAAGTGTATTGTATCTGGGTTCATTTTTAAAAAGGCACATTAATTATCTCTGAAATATTTAAAGAAGATTGCAAATGCTACCCTTCCTATGTCTTCTTTTAAAAAGTGACTGTTGTGGTTACCATACCTGGCACATTCTATGTAGGTTTATTTGTCACCTGAACACAGTGTAGTGTGTTCTGTCTTTAGGTGACTGTGATATTGTTGTTGTCTGTGGCACAGGTGACAATAGGACTTGTCACTTAGCCATCTCATCCAGACTGTAATGTAATGATCTTTCTTTATGTGTTTTAAAAATTTGATCAAAAAAACCTACCATGTGTAAACTTAGATTTGGTAGCCAAGGCCGTGTTGGATGCTAAGTTTCTCCATGGTGTGAATTAATTATCTTTGTAGCTCATCCTGAGAGTGGTAAATCAGTCAAAGGTCAATCTATGGAGCTCATTGAGATCAAAACGTGCTGAATGATGTTTTTGTTTGAGCACCCCTGGGTTTTGGATGAGCAGGCTTTAGACAGGAAATTGTATACTCACGTGTTGGAGGTTGTACTGATGTGATGAGATGTGATGGGAAGCTGACAAAGCCAAGTGCTCAGTGCATGGCTGTGCTTTCATATAAACACTCCAATAACATCAACCAATTCATGTGAGGCAGAACACACCACAGTGTTAAAATAAAATGTTTGGTTTTTTTAAATTTCAGATGTTAAGCAGTTGGCTAATACCTCTGGATTTAGAAGAGGAGCATGGGGGTTTAGAGTAGGGACAACAGAGTTGAATGGTCAACTGTTCAAGGTATAACAGAGAAGACAGTTACTTGCAGTTACATATTATATCTTATTTTTTTGTTTTCCAGGATGTGACTTTAAATGACTTCTGATTCTGAAGGTCTTCTGAAAAATATGCAGTGCTTGAATGTTTGCTAAGGACTAGTAAGTGACTGATCTCATATTTGGACTATATATACCTGAACATTTTTAAAGCTACAGTTTAGTATATGAGAAGCATGTACTTTAAAAAAGGAAAAGGATGGGAGGGAAGAAAGAAGAACAAAACCCAACTCAAACCAAAAACCTTACTGCACCACTGCCACAAAGTGAAATTGCTGCTTATATTCTTGTGGATTCCTGTCTATGTAAGTGGAAACATAAATTGTTTCTGTGGTCAGTCTTACAACAAAATAATCTTTGCATAGTATCAAAATATTTTCAATCAGAAGCTTCACAGCAAACCTTTGATACTTTTTAATGTGTATTTGAGGGAGATACAAGGTTGAAATAACAAATTTCCACTAAGTATACAGAGTTGCAGAATGGAATATCCACTAGTTTTATTTATTATCAAAATTTAAATGTTGCAATCTGCACCTTGCAAAAATGTGTGATTTATGTCTTGGCTTTTAGGAGGTGGGGTTATAGTTAATATTTTAACATTATATACAATTTCAAAAATTCCAGGGCATCCTCATGATTCATTGTAATGAACTTGTTTGATTTAATTCTTTGTAACTGGCTTATTCTGAGTCATGCTAAGTTCTACTTAGTCAATTTTTCAAACAAGAAATCAGCTCAGACAGAAGAACTTCCAAGGATGCAAGATACTGCAAGGACACATACTTAATATAGGAAAAACTTGGTGGTTGCATGGGACCAACAAAGTATTAAAAATGTTTTCATGCAAGAAACACGATTTAAGAAAATAATTCAGATTTGTTTTGTGTTGTATCGTTGTGAGTTTTGGGGGGTAGTCAAGAGTTAGAGCAAAACAGATAACGAAAACAAAATGTGAAGCATGTAATTGTTTGTATTTTTAGGTCCCTGCTGGGATATTAAATTAAATATTAAATTCTGTGGGGGTGACTTGAGTAAGGCCAGGGTAGAAATAGTTGAATCAAACTGAAAACTTTCTGTTTACTGTGCTTGGTAATTTCATAATGTCATTTTGGCTTGAGTGCTGTGTAGGAAATGGCCTAAGGAACTTTCCCCATTGCAAACACACTCTATTGTTGGCATGGGCATCATTTTCTTGTTACTCCAGGGGTGGAATTTTAGAAGACAATGGATTTTTACCCTGTCAAAATACTGAAACCCTGGCAGGTTGGACAGTGCTACTCAGAAACTCTCATGATTTCTTTAAAATTCAATGGTTTTGTTTGGAAGGTTGTACATATGTTGTTGCAATGAATGGATTATTAATTACTAGAACATATTTTATCTGCCCTGTGTAAAATCCAGTACCTTTTTAACAACTCATTAATGCTTTTCAGTGACATTTTTTGACATATGAAAAGTGTATGGTACATTCCAAAAGGTGTAGGCATGAGCACCTTCATAACATCTGGTGTTTTTTCAGCTCAGTTACTGCTGAGCAAGAAAATCTTTGTTATTTTTTGTTTTCTTGAATTGAGAAAAATGTTGGAAAAATTTAAGTTTATACCTGAAAAGATGTTACAAATAATCTTGAAAATTTGAAACTTTTGCTCCAAATATTGTTGCCTTCAATTCTGCTCCACTGGAGCATCATGATATAGTGGTTTGTTATTTCTACAATCAATGGCATTAAACAGTGCCTTGCTTTGAAGACTTTGTGTTGGATAATTTATACTGATGTAAAATTTAACAGAATTTCTTGCATTTGCCCAGTTTTATGTAGTAACTGAGCTATTTAATGAAATTAAGCTACTTTTTAGATTTATTTTAATCATGCAAATAACAGAAAGAATTTCACCCTAATTATTTTCTTTAAAAAATGCTTCATTTAGGTAGGTAATATTGTGTGGTATAACTAGCAGAGAAATCTTTCTAGCCACCATTACTGGCTCATAAGCCAGAAATAACCTTGTTGCCTCAGCTCAGAAAGTAAATTCACAAAGATGAAGGTGTTAATTTGTTTTACTTTTAGTAGTAAAAATCCACAGAAGTTTCAACTTGAGAAACCTGTGTTTCAGAGCTGTCTTTTGAAATAATTCACTGCAGGAAAACTCCCTAAAACCCCCAAAGTAGCCTTCCTTTTGGAAAAACTTCTTAGCCCATTCGAAAATTTCTGTTTCATATTCAATGAGCAAATGTAACACCTGGTACTTTTAAAACCGACGATTTCTTTAATTATTAACTCCCTGAGCAGTAGCTTCTTTTACAAATACTATAGCTGGGCAATGAGTTTGACTGTTAACAATTTGTGCTGTAAATCCATCTGTATTAGGAAGCAGCTTCTGTTATTTCCTTAGCTGAACAGTTCCAGGGTTGCTCTGGGTGTGACCTGCCTGTGCAGCTTGTATTGATATTCTTAGCCAAAGGAAAATACATGTGCAGCAACTCTGCAGCTTCAGGCCTGAATCAACTTCCACCAGCTACTCGGGTGTAAGAGTAGGGAAATTCAAATTACTGATTTTTTCTTTCTTTTCCAAGCTCCTATATTTATCACGTTTCTGAGATAAGATGTAGTAATTTTTGGTTTTCTGTTGAATTACATTGTGAGTTATCTCTCAGTACAAGTAGATGTTAAACCAAAAATGACATTTCTAAATCATTTCATACAACCGTGTAACCTCCAAAATTATTTTATAGTGAAATGTCTGCCTTAGCTCAAATTTTCAACTGCTTAATGTGTTTCAAATGCTTCCTTCTCTTAAATAGAATCTACTCTTGGCTTCAGACATACTTGCTTTGTCCACACCCTTCCTGAGCTAGCCCTAAGATTTATATTTTAAGCTCTTCCTTTCTCTTTGCACATTAACTTTTAAACCTTCAGGTCTGTCTATACTCAGCCTGTAAATGTATTTCGAGGGAGGGAAGCAGCACATGCTGGCAGTGTGTGCAGGTGTCACCTTCAGCACGAGTGACAATGCAGCCTCAGCTCTGAGGTCTGTCCTCATAAGACCTTGATTGGTGTGTAATGAATGCTGGGTATCAGCTCAGATAATCAACTGCTTTTTACATGATCATTAGCTGCTTTTAGAATCTCTTTTTTTCCCAACTGCTTACTTGTTCGGATGAGTGAAGGAAATTGAAGGAAAGATGATTCCTGCAGTTGTCAGTTCTGTACTGTCATCTGGTGGCCAAACATTGTCTTTTTCTTGAACTTTACGTGAAGTAAGCCACTAGCTATGTCTTTTTGGGAGTTTTTTTTGTCCTGGAGGAATATATGAATGGATAAATGTCTTCAGACTTGTTCTTCCATCTCTCAGTTGGGTTTTTTTTCTTTATCAAATATTTATATGTAAGACCAAGTTCTTATCTGTACAGGGTCAGGCATCTTTTGTAATTATTTATTTCAAATGGAAGATGATGTTTGATTGTTGGGTTCAATTCTGTTGTCCTTTTAAAGACATGTTTTCCTTCCTTTTGTAATGTATCTCGATTGGCATGAGGACTAGTTATGATACAATTTTATGTTAAGCATTGTGACATTTTCTTAGTTGCAAAGAGAATTTGTACTTCAAAAAGATGCCTTTTTATTTCTACATAGTAGAAATTTTTATTTATTATATTTATTTGTTTTTATTTCTACATAGTAGAGTAGTCCAGTCCTCTGTCCTGTCTAGCTTTCAAAATTTTGCCCTGCTGTAAGAAGAATGTTCTTTTAAAATCTCCACGTGTAGAATTAAAACCCTCCATGCTGCTTCGTGCAAATCTATTCTTGTGTGCCTTTGTCCTTTCTGTTTAGACTTCTGAAAAACCTAAAGCAGATTTTCTTTCCCCACCCTCACAAGAAAAAAAAAAATCAGTCAGTCAAGGTTATTAACCTCAAAAGTAATACACACACTGTCCCTGTGATAAGTGATCACTGACTCCTAGGAATTTGATCATCCTGGGGCAGTTCCTTTTAACAAGTGTCATAATGCTAGTTTTTGCCTGTGGAGACAAAGAACTTTTTCTGTAAAAGATTTCTTAGTGCCTGGGTTATGCTATGCAAAAAGGTTCTCTCTAACTGACAAATCTAGCTCTATTAATTAAATATATAGCACCATTTATTGCCACTGCTGCTTGGGGTAAAGAACTGCAGTCTGAACTAGAATGCAGTAAATTAAATTTACACTTAATTTGGACATTTCTGTAAAATGGATAAAATAATGCTAAATATCTAACTGCCCAGATCTGTTTTGTCTCACTGTAATACAAAAGACCAAAACCGATTTTTAGATTGTTTTATAATTCTGGTTGTGTTCTAAAATACTCCAACTAGATACATAGCATGGATCCATTAAGTTTTTCCCTTTCTGTTTTTCCCTGTTGATCCCAGCATAGCAGGACCTGACTTTGCTTTCTTCTCTCAGCTGTGTCTGTGGCTCCTTTTGGGAGTGAGGGGAGATGAATGTCACACAGATCTAATCTGCAACATTTGTTTAATGTAACTAGACTTCAACAAAATCACCTGGTGTTTTATTTGGGTTATGGCCCAGTCTTTGCTGCAGGAGAAATAGAAATAAAAGACATTTAAAGTCTTTGCTTGCCTGGGCCTTGAAGTTTTAGAAAGCAGTGTTGATTTTAGGAGGTTTAGCAAGAGATGTGAAAACTATAGTAAACCTGTAAGGATGTTATTGCTGTATGCAGAGATGAGTATGAAACTCCTGTAAGCTCCCTCATACATTCCTAAGGGTGAAAATTATTTGCTTCTGCAACTGTGTTTTGGTATAACATTAATTTATTGCTTTTTTTTTTTTTTTTCAGGTTATCTAAATATATGTTTAAATACTGAGAATCTTTTTTTCTTTTTTTAGACTAACTGGAGCTATACAGTGGTCCCAGTTCAATGGTGCAAATGTTAAATATCTCTGAAAAAAATGAAATGCATTTTTAGCCTTTACTTTTGCTTACAGTGATAGAAAGCTTTAATAACCTGTGTTGTGGCTAAATACAGGGTAGATTTTAAAGAAAGGTAAGCAAACATTATTTCTTAGTAGGCAAAAAGTTTATGGATTTGCATTAAGAAAATTCACTTGTAAATCTGCTCAAAATAAATTACTCACCTGGGTAAGTTCTGTGTGTTTTGAATCAGTATTTTGAGCGTTCTATTCACAGTTATTATTTCATTGCTTTTAGTTGCTGATGCATGGTCAAGATGAGTGGATTAGGAGAAAATTCCTTAGATAGTTTGACTAATGAGTCAAGGAAGCGCAAGCCATTGCCCTGTGACACACCTGGTGCAAGGTAGGTTTATACAGAACTTTCCTGGTTTTTCATCAGTCTTTAAAAATACTTTTTCAAATTTGCATCCTAATTTCGATTAAGTTCTAAGAATTTGTTTAGTTGAAAAATTCTCTAAGCCAGCTTCTGTTGTAAAGATCGATAACTTCACTATTAGTGCAGATTTTATACTTTAGACTCCTGTGGAAATTTTAATAAAGTGGACATATCATAATGGACCTTAAAGATCATCTAGTTCCAGTTCCTCTGTCCGGGGTAGGGATACCTTCCATTAGATAAGGAATCCCTTTCAAAGTTGTAATTGCAAGGCAAAAGAAGAGAAGACACTTGCTTCAGAGGAATTGTGAAGGCATCATCTCGTGTCTGGTCATTGATTTGTCAGGCCTCATTTCAGGGGGTTACATTTAGCAAAGAGTACTGCAAAAAGTTGAGCTTTTTGCTGGTTTGGTTGTGCTTCCATTTCTTTCAAGTTCATCTTAAATTTTAGCAATCTGTGATATCTTCCTTCCCCTCACCCAACTCTATCACATATTGTTGTCTGAGAGACTCAGTTTTCTGTTCCCCACAAACTTTGCTCTCCACCACGTGCAGTCTCTTTTATCCTTTCATGTTCTTCTTCCCACAGAGTATTAACATCTATTAAATTTGTCATCAGGCATTGTGTGTACTAATATTTGTCATTTTTATATGTACACATCCCCAGTGCCCCATGCCAATTGCCTTCATCCTTCAGCAGATTGTGTATGAGACCCTTAAATATCCCACGGGTTTTTTTATGAGTGCCCTTAATTCCATTTTCTCTTTCCCTTTTTACAGTGTGTCTCTGTCCATTCAGGAGTTCTTTTTCAGATTTTCACCCTTCATTAGCTTTCTTTGTCTTTCAAGCTCCTGCTTTGTCATGTATTTATTTTCTCCGGTGTTGGTCCATACATTTCCTAACTCCTTCACTTGGTTTCTTCTCAAAGAATTATTAATCTCTTTCAATTTCCTTGATGTGTCCATTCTTGCCCCTGCCCTGAGTCCCTTCTTTTTCTGTTCTTGCCATATTGTGACATTTCTGCCTGTTGATTTAGGCTGTAGACATTCTCTCTGCTCAGCACATTAACCTGGGTAGGAAAAGGAATTTCAAATATCCAGCAATGTTAGGTTGTCTGTGATTCTGCTTTTCTTGCATGTTGAGATGGCATTTAGGTCCTGATGTGCCTAGAAATTTATTAGGTATGTATGCCTTCTATAGTCATCTCTTTACAATCAAACTGAAAGGAGTTAATAGAATGCTACAATTCAGTTTCATTTGTCTAGCAAATTTTAAGCAACTGGAAATAATTTCTAAAATTAAAATATACTTTCTGTATGAGTGCTACAATTATATAACAAAAGCAACTGCTGTTTTCATTAAATCTGACAGTAGAGTAATAAACAGGATGATTTTAAAAAAATTAATACCTTTCTTCTATTCTTTTAATATAAATTTGTACTTAAAATTCTTTAAAAATATGCAAACCAAACAGCAGTGTAACAAAACACACACATTTGTCCTTCAGATTCATGTTTGCTGGAATAATAACTACTGCCTGGGTTAACAGTGGGTGTGAAGTGAAGAACATTATTGCTAACACAGTTTGTATAGGATGGTATAGAAGTATTCAAAACAATGTTTTTCATTCCTAGTCTGGTCTGCAGTGGTGAGAAACGTCGACGTGAGCAGGAAAGCAAATACATTGAAGAGCTGGCTGAGCTGATATCTGCTAATTTCAGTGACATTGACAATTTCAATGTCAAACCTGACAAATGTGCTATTTTAAAAGAAACCGTGAGACAGATTCGACAAATAAAAGAGCAAGGTACAGTGCCCTGCTAAGTCAAAATTAATGGTTTCACTTTCATTGTGATTCTTTGTTTTTGAAGAAATAGTTACTTGCAAAATTGAGCAGTGGTTTTCATGATAGCATGTAACTGAACAGGTCTTTGGACTTGGACTTGATTCAAACCTTAAATGTGCCTTAAGTAATTTTTTGTTTTAAATTAAACAACTATGTATCATCACTTTTTCTTGGGAATCAGGATTTTCAAACTTTGTATGGCCTTTCTTACCAGCTTTGTACCACAGACAAGGTAAAAAATAGGAGATGGTTCTCTACCATCTGCTTGTACACTGTATGAAAATTCCCTACTGTTGCCTTTCCCTTCAAGGAAATATTTCCTTTTCTTATGGGCAAGCCTCTAATCAGAGATAGTGATTTTATAATGGATTTTCAAAAATTGGTTTTTTAGTGTAATTGAATGTACTCAGAATATAGTTAACTCAACAAAGAAGGAAAAAGCAATGCATCATATCCTGGTAATTTCTGTCAGGTAGGGTAAACCTCAGTGATAGAATACTATGTTTTAACTGGCAGGTGTATGCAAAACCCATGTCTTGAGATACAGAGTGATTGATACATATATATATATAAAAGTTCTTTTTTTTAAACACCACACCACCCCCATCTCCACCTCCCAAGCTTACATGTGTCATTTGGGCAGTAAAGTGAAAAGTCGATTCACAGAAATGTATCTTTTGGCTTTCAGGAAAAGCAGTTTCTAATGATGATGATGTTCAGAAAGCTGATGTATCATCCACGGGTCAAGGAGTTATTGACAAAGATTCATTGGGACCTCTTTTATTACAGGCAAGTACAGATTAGGCCTTATTAAACCTCTGTGGAACCAAATATGCAGGGCAGGTGAAAATATTACAATAAAGTATGCAATCCTGTAGTAATAAAATAGTATGCAAGTACCATGCAGAAGTATGTTTGAATGGGTCAGGAATAAAATCTTTTTTAATAAAATCATTTTGCTGAAATTCTCTGTAGAAGGAAATAGAATAGCTTTTGATTTTGTCTAATATTGCTATGCTTTACTTACTCCAGCAGTCATTAGCAAATTAGTGCTGAAGCAGTGCTTATTTGTGCAAGGAATATTTTATTTCTGGTAAGGGATGGACCTAAAATGGAGGGGTTTTTGCAAGGAGAGGTTTGTTATATGTGTTTGTATTTGTGTTACTGAATTATGAAGCATTTTAAATGAATGTTGCCATCAAGTAAAATAATCTAAGAATAATAGTGAACAAAGGTACACAGCAGATAGCCTTTCTTTATGCCTCAAAAACCAATCTGATATTTACAAGTTCATCAAAGTATTTTTGAAGCTTAATTTTTTAACATAGATATTGAATTTCTCTTTCAATTAAGAACATGCAGTATTTTGCTAGATCCTCCTATCTCATCACTTGGTAGTGGAAATGTCTTCATGACTTACTGCTTGTTTCTACTGAACTTCTTGTTTCAATTTTCTAACTACTGAATTAATGTTACACATTCATGATCTAGTGTTCATATGAATCAAGAATGAAACAAAGCTGGTTATCAATGTGAAAGCTGAATGGAATATCACATGGACTTAGTAATTATTATTATTACTTAAATAATTCCCTACCAGACACACTTTTCCTCAAAGAAGAATTTAAAACTTCATCTCTATCCTGAAAAGAAGTGAATATATTGTAAATTGACATTTATCATCCACACAGTTTTTAAACTAAATTATGTTCAGAATTAGTCTGTATGTCTTATATGTTATGTTGTCACATTCATATTTAGGCCTTGGATGGCTTCCTCTTTGTTGTAAATCGAGATGGGAACATCGTATTTGTATCAGAAAATGTCACACAGTATCTGCAGTACAAACAAGAAGATTTGGTTAATACAAGTGTCTATGGTATCTTGCATGAAGATGACCGGAAGGACTTTCTTAAAAACTTACCCAAGTCTTCAGGTAATAAAAATTGATTTATTACACTTACTAAACTGTTTTGAAAGCAATCAGAGAAGAAAAAAATGCCTTGTAAAGGATAACCTTTCAAAACAGATTACTAATATAAAGATTAAGATAATCTTGATCAATAGTACTGTAGTTTTACAATAGCATGCCATCAGAAATAAATGTGCTGGAAATTTACACTTGACTTTAGCTTTTGCAATTTGTTTACCTATAATTTTAAAATGGTGACACTAAAGGAGCACCTTCCCTAATACCACAAGGCTAGCAGAAAGAACTGCTTGTTTCTAAAATACATGAATGGCTTCTCAGTATTCTTTCAAGTGACTGAAAGTGTCATGCAAAAAAGAAAGGAGTATTGAGAATCAAGTGAAAAATACTCTATTTTATACCAAGCTATATTGATTGTATATTGAGAAGGCTTCTTAAAATAATCTTTAATATCTGTAATCTAGGAATAGGGTATCTAAATGAAGAAGAATCAGTTATGAGTTGCTTGTATCTGAAAATCTGTATGAACTCTTACTGTGTTCTTTACAGTTAGTGGAGTTGCTTGGGCCAGTGAAACACCTCGACAGAAGAGCCACACCTTTGAGTGCCGGCTGATGGTGAAGAGCTCTCATGACCCCTTTGAAGATGGAGGTGGCTACCAAGACACACGTCACAGATATGAAACTATGCAGTGCTTTGCTTTATCACAGCCAAGAGCTATGATGGAAGAGGGGGAAGGTAGGAATTTTTGTGGAATTGTCATGCATAGAAATTTCTGTGAAAAGCTCTTTGATGTTTTTGAAACCGTTTTCAAGAGCTGAGCAACTTGAATCCTTGCTGTCTGTACTTCCATTGTAACAACACAAGAGGCTCAGCTGTTTTATTAGAATATTCAATACAGTAAAACAGGAGACCATGAAAGAAGAAACATTCTTTTTAAATACAGATCTGCAGTCCTGCATGATTTGTGTGGCACGTCGTATCACAGCTGCAGAGGGGGCATTTCCAGCTAATCCAGAGAGCTTCATTACAAGACATGATCTTTCAGGTAGGAAATATTCCCAGGAGGAAGGTATGAAGGAGTCTTCTTTGTCCATGTGCTCTTGTTTGAAATAAATGGAGTATGGATTGTGTAGTTACTAACAGAATTCATACTGAGGATTCCCAATTGCTTTTTACAATATACCATTGTTGGTAATGAGGTGTAATAAAACCTGTGGCAGACATTTTCCTCTGTGTCTTACTGGTTGGTAAAAAGCATTACTTGTGTTTTAATTAGCATTTCAAGTGATTGTCATTCTGCTTTCCTTTACACAGAGGAAATATTTTAGGTCATAACTGACACAAATGGAAGTCCTTTGGAATGTTTGTATTTTTATATAACACATGAACGAATGTTTAAAGTAGTTTATGCTGTTTAAATCCAAAGAGTTGTATAATCTAAATGGGATTTTTTTCAGATTTTTTTTTTGTGTTTATGATGTTCATTCAATGTAGTTGGTCAGTATTTTAAAAAATTTTACTCTATGTGCATCCCTTAGGTGCCTGTAACCAGAGACTAAAGTCACTGTTTTCTAAAGCTCTGACATTGACCTGAGGGTGATTAACTCCCTCTTACTCAGTTACATAAATCCCTTTAAAAAGCAGCATCACAATCTCATAGGGCAGATAATTCATAAATGTAACTTCTGCATGCTCAGAATTTGGTGATTAAAAGAGTTCTATTGGAGCTTTGTGAAATGTACTGTATTTATCCAAAAAGAATTGGCACAGTCATAAAGAGTTGAACTTTGGTGTTGTCTGTCCTGTTAAGGCAAACTTATCAACGTTGACACAAACTCATTACGATCTTCCATGAGACCTGGGTTTGAAGACACAATTCGAAGGTGTATTCAGAGATTCTTGTGCCACAGTGATGGGCAGTCATGGTCAAATAAACATCACTATCATGAAGGTAAAAAAATCAGTTTACAATGGTTGGGTCATATTGCTTCTTCTAAGGGCTGAGGTTTTTTTCTGAGAAACAAAAATGTTAAATTCTGCCTGTGTTCCTTTCTTTTCATGGTTTTTGTTAATTACTGTGATTCATTTAGCAGCTGAAGGAGGATGACCTCTTGAGAACAAGAAATTCTGCTGGAAGTTATGTTGTTTTTTCAATGTGTTTGTTTTGGAAATTGTCACCTGGAAATATCAAATATCTGGAAAATACCAGATATATGATCTGGGGTATCCATTTCCACAGATGGATACAGCAATTACAGAGTTATATTTCTGTGATGATATATCATCCTTAATTAGCATTAGCTTGTTACTTTTGATTAATGTTAGTTTAATGTTATTTTCATTCACTCTTTCCATTCTTAAAGAACCACCCTCTGAAAGTGATAACAGTTGTGCTGATGCCATTTTCTTATTCTCAAGACACAGAGCTCAAAATGCCTTCAGCTTTCCATTGCCACAGATTTTGTAATGCTAATTTGATAACTTTGCTAGATAAGTGAAATGCAGCCACAGTCTGTAGTAAGAAAGATGATATTTTCTAATTTTTCCAAACTCTGGTCTTTTTGAAGGATTTACAAAGTAATTAGAGCACAGGGCATATTAAATAAAGATAAACTCATTCTGTCAGAAAATGGGTTTTCCAGAAGTTCTTCGACATAATTGATCAAATGAATCCTAAATTAACAATGTGCAAAGCTCAAATTAAAACCAAGAGTTTCCACAACTTTTTGATTGAAGCAAACTTAGTGCTTCCCCAAGCAGGAGCCATGGAACCTGTAATCTAACCTTGGAAGTCTGTTAACAAATGCAGAAGCTGTGTCTGGTGAGCACAAAATATTGCAGCATCAAAATAATCTCATTTGCTTTTATTGTCCCTCTGTTGATAGAGGAGAAGTTGTGGAATATTTTCTTTTTCTTCTCTGTCTCGGGTATATATTTTTATTTATTTTTTTTTAAAAGTTTTATGGTTTGCTTTGTTTCTTTTTTTAATCCTCAGTAAACAGAAGGGTATTGTGTCCAAAATATCTTCTAATTCATCTTAATAATTCATGGGATGTTAAATATTAACTATATTTGTGTATTATTCCCTTCACAGCTTATACACAAGGCCATGCTGAAACCCCATTGTACCGATTTTCTTTAGCTGATGGTACAATAGTGACAGCTCAAACCAAGAGTAAATTATTTCGAAATCCTGCCACTAATGACCGCCATGGATTTGTCTCTACCCACTTCCTCCAAAGGTAGTAGTAGAAATTAGGAGTATCTGTTTAGAATTTAAGTGGCAAAGTTTTAAAAAAATACATATGATCTTGAAGATAACCTGAGAAAAATACTAAATATTTTGCCTGATATTAAAATATTTTACCTGATTAAAACTTAGATGGGAAACAGAGCTGCATAGCATACAAATAAATGTATAAACCTAACAGAGTCCCATTTTAACTATGTGGCAGAAAGAATCAAAAGAGAATTTTCTTCTCAATACCTGCACACAAAGCCTGTGCTATGTTTTTTCTAGTTTTTTGTGTGATTAAACACTGAAAATAGAAATGCTCAATCATGTGCTTTTGCAGACCAATTAAAAAGACAACAAAATCCTCTCAGATGCATAATCCATACCTGAAATGTGCCTTAAGTAGTATTTCCTGTGACCTGTTCTTGTTCTTGGCAAGACTAATTGAAATGTCACTTTGGAGGGTAACTGTCTCCTGGCATTAGAGTGTCTCCAGATGCTGAAAAATTAGTAACTTGTTCAGGGTCACACATTGTTAATGTGCACAGTAGAATGGTGTCAGGCATTGACTCAGGAAGGGGGTAAAAGGAGGAGGATCTTTGAATTGATAAATCTGATTAATAATGTGACCATTGATCAAAGCTTTTAGAGGCAGTGATACTGTATGTGCTTATAACTCAAAGCCCCCAGAGGGTCACACATTTCTATAGTGAATAAATGTGGAAGCTTGAATTCTCACTGCTCTCTTTTGGAAAAAAATATTTGGGCAATTATTTAATAATGTATTTGTAGCATATGATTCCAAATAAGGTTTTAATTTGTTTTCTTTGGGTTTCTGGGGACAATGTTGAATTTACAGAGAACAAAATGGATATCGACCAAATCCTAATTCTATTGGGCAAAACATCAGAACACCTGTGCCTGGAAACACAAATTCTGTGAATGGCCTTATGAACATGTCACCTGGTCAAGCCTTGCCAATGCAGAGCAGGAGCTGTGGGATGGGAGATCCCAGTGCAATGGCTCAGCTCAGCAGCACTCGATATGGAGGCCTTGGGAATACAGGGCCAGTGAACCCTGGACCTGGAATGCAGTCCTCTGCTTATCAGAGTAACAGTTTTGGCTTAAATATCAGTAGCCCACCACATGGTAGTTCTGGCTTAACTTCCAACCAGCAGAATCTAATGGTATCTCCTAGGAATAGAGGGAGTCCCAAAATGAGTTCACACCAGTATTCTCCAGTTACAGGTATTTTATTTTTGCTTTATGCTCTTTTTTTCTTTTCAAGCTATCTTTTCTCACTTCTATCTGAATTCCATCTTTCATCCATTTTAGTCATTGTATATGACCCTGCATGTGTTACTTGAATGTGGTATATCTGACTTCATGGTAAAAATGTATTTTAAAATTATTAACTCAGTGTGGCAGTCACAGGCAATAATGTCATCTAATAAGTTTGATCTCTGTCACATGATACAGGTACTCACTCACCAATGGGATCTGCCAGCAACACTACCAACAGCACTTTCTCTAGCAGTTCTCTTAGTGCTCTGCAAGCCATTAGTGAGGGTGTTGGAAATTCCCTTTTATCAACACTTTCTTCACCGGGTCCAAAATTGGATAATTCCCCAAACATTAGCATAACTCAGCAAAGTAAAACAAGTACCCAGGACTCCAAAAGCCCTTCTGGTTTGTATTGTGAACAAAACCAAGTGGAAAGTTCTGTCTGCCAGTCGAACAGCAGAGATCTCCTTAGTGAAAAAGAAAGTAAAGAGGGAAATCTGGATGTATCTGAAAGTCAGAGAGGACCAGCTGAGAGCAAAGGGCATAAAAAACTGCTTCAGTTACTCACATGCTCCTCAGATGAAAGAGGACATTCTACAGCATCAAACTCACCTTTGGACTCGAATTGTAAAGAAGCTTCTAGCAGCGTTACCAGTCCTTCAGGAGTTTCCTCATCAACTTCTGGAGGGGTCTCTTCCTCCTCTAACATGCATGGGTCACTCCTGCAAGAGAAGCACAGGATTTTACATAAATTGTTACAGAATGGTAATTCTCCAGCAGAGGTGGCCAAGATCACAGCTGAAGCTACTGGTAAAGACATGTACCATGATGCCAGCACCACAGCCTCGTGTAGAGAAGGCACTGCCAAACAGGAACAACTGAGCCCAAAGAAGAAAGAAAACAATGCTTTACTAAGATACCTGCTAGATAAAGATGATACTAAGGACCCACTTTCCAAAGAGTTAAAGCCTAAAGTGGAAGGTTTGGATAATAAGATGGGACAGTGTACAAGTTCTACAATTGCTACTTCAAGTCAAGAAAAAGAAATGAAAATAAAAATGGAGCCAACAGAGGAGGTACAGCATAATGTAAAATGATGGCAGAGAATATTTTATTCTTACAGTGAATGACTAAATGTAGAATGCTCTACAGTATGCATGTGTGAACATCTCTAATGATGTGAAACAATAAAATCAGGTTTAATTGTGAATGAAAAAGCACAAACAAAAAGAACTACAGGGTATGAATATAACCAGATCTGATGTCCTGAAGTCCTGGACTAATATTTTTAAGTTTTGTTATGATTAAGGTAATATTTACAAATTATTCCTTAAAATCAGATCTTAGCACGTTTGGCTTTATGGCTTAGGGGCCATATCTGCCTCTGCAATTAGTTGGTAATACAAGAGCAAAAGGTAAAACATGATTTCATTTTGAAAATACAAACAGTAATACTTGAAATAGCCACGATCTGGTTTAGTTCATTGGTTGGTTTTAGTGCTCTTTTTTCTTTCCTTAAATGAGGGAATATGTTCTTCCAAATATATATATATATATTCAGCACTCAAATAAATACATACCAAAATATATAAATGTATATATAATTTATATATAAAAATACAAATAAATAAGTTTTAGAGCTGGAATTCCAAGAAATGTCATGATACAGAAAACTAACACCATGGAACAACTACTCTGAAACCAGCAGTGCACTGTTCTTAAAATTACAATGTGTATATAACATTTTTGTATTTAAGTCCTAAGATTTGGAACTTCAAAGTAAGCAGTACTGGTCAGTAGGGCAGAGTTTACTGAAGATATATCAATTTTTTTAGACCTTGGATTTCCCAAATCAGTAATAACTGAGTAAATAATTTAAAAAAAAAGTCAAAACAAGTTTTATATTAGCTACTGGCTGCCTATAAATGAAACATCTCATGCCATTGTTTGAATACCACTTGCAGAAAAGTCACTAACAACTCTGTAATAATACACAACATGTAGTTTCAGCACTTGCTAATGGAATTTGGATATTCAGAGAAGCTTCTTTTGTGAAGATATGGATCCACTATATATGAATTATTTTTTCTATTGAAACTGTATCTGATTTAAAGCCAAATTTTTAAAGAAAGTTAGGACTCCAACTGACCAGAAAAACCTGTGCATAATTTTTGTATCTTGTAGCATTCACCAGTAGTTTTTTGTGTATGATAGATACATTATTTATCTGAATGGTACATGTTCTCTATATCATTTGCTATCATTAGTGTTTTTATCTTAGTGATTTGTGATCATTGAAATATTTATATTCAGAAGTGTTTTTCATTTTAGTCACGTGTGTTTTCTGCTAATTCTCAAAATTACCCACGCGAAATACTCTAAAAAAAAAAATGTATCTAAATGAACCTGAAATTCTTTGGAAGTTAAAAAATAGCTCAAGATAGTGTCAGTGAATTAAAACATTTCTGTCACAGTCATATACTTTAGGATTAGCGAGGAGCTGAATAAAAATTGAAGTGTAGCCACATGAGAGTAAATAACCTTGGTATTTTACTGCATCATTTTCAGATGAATGGAGACTTGGATAATTTGGATGCAATTCTAGGGGATCTTACTAGTTCAGAGTTTTACAATAATGCTATGTCTGCAAATGGAAATAATCCTGGAACAAAGCAAGCATTCTTTCAAGGAAATGCCCTGTTGGGTAAGGAATTAAATCTTTCACCTGGGTTTTAAAGTTAGGGTTTTCTTCTCACCTGATGTAAATATAATGAGTCCTCAAACCCTTAGAGAATCCTTTCTTTATCTGCTATATCTTCAAGGACAAATGTAATGCAAAACGGTTTTATATACACTATTAGCTGTCTTGGCAGCACTCACCTACTGTATACACAATGAGTGCCATTCAGTTCCTTGTTTTATGGTTTATTCTGGCTTCATCTGATGTAAATTTTCCAGAGACAAGTCATCAGGAAAGCAGTTTGTGAGTTGTAAATTAAAATTGAGAATTTTTATCCCTTACTAATGACCACAGATATGATATGGGATTGTGGCAAGCTTTTAATTCCTTTCTTATTCTATATAAAAACATCTTGTGACTGGTAACTTCTAATTATTACTCCTCCTTAACTTCCAAAGGATTGCCCTTCCTTAGGAGGAGGCAGAGCAGGAGGGGAGGATGAGCTGGGTAATAAACCAGCATCAGGGCATTGCTGTGTTCTCCCATGCCACTGCTCATCTCTAGATTACACAGGGCAGAGGATTGCTGAGATAACCAAAGGAGCTGAAAGATGGATAATGAAAAACATAAAACCAGGTACAAGAATATGGAAGGCCACTGACACCACTGACTGTGGAGCACAGTGGGTTGTGGGTTGTCTGTAGAGGACACTGTGCTCAGGAACACACCGTGTCTGCATTCCAGCTGTTCTCAACAGAACCAGTTGTTTGTACCTCCATGTGGGAGGTAATCACAGTCTCAGCAGTCCACTCAGAGATATCAAGAAGTCTGGAATACTAAGTTCATTACAGAACTTAAATTCAAATGAACCCCTTTTCTTCTGTAGGGCCAAAGGGAAGTGCCTTTGACTTTTTCTGCAAAATATTCTAACTATGAGTTCAAAATGGGAGTTTTTGTTGTGAAAACATGAGCAACTATTTCTGGCTTGCTTAACATCAAGTATATGAGCTCATAAAGAGATGAGACTAATTTAAGTCATTAACAGTGTATTGTATTTCAAATGTACAGTTGCATGCATCTTTTAATTCTTTAACAGGTGTGAAGAGCCCCCAGCCTGTGCAGACTGCTCGGCCACCTTTTAACAGAGCCTTGTCTTTAGACAGCCCTGTGGGCTCAGGTGCTTCAGTGAGGAATGTCAATGCATTCTCCATGTTACAAAAGCAAAACTTGATGGGTGGAAGTCCAAGAATGATTGAAAACCAAGAAAATTTTGCAGCAAATCTCGGTTTGTTGGTTGTATATAAACAGCTCTCATTTTAAAGGAAATAGCTTTTGTGTAAAAAAAAGTTGCAAGATTAAAATACAAATTTCAGTTAGAGGTTATTCTAACATTAAAGAATTTTAATTTTACCATCATTAATATGTCTGAATTACTATCTTAGTTAAAATTATAAGAACATAGCTGTTTACTGTCTGTGTCATTACCAGTACTTTAAGTAGTGAAATTATTTTTTACTATTTTGAGTTTTCAGTTTAACTTGTGCTTTTGATATATAGAAGCAAGAACAATTCACAGTGGCAGCCAGTCATGAATTTTATGTATATTTAGGCTCACACAGTTTTTGTATGATTTAGAACTTGGCACGGTGAGCTCTAGATGCTTTTGTAGGACTTGAATCAATTGGCTCTGACATCAGCAGGTGCACTTGGTGAAATAGCAAAATAATTCTAAAACCAAAATACATAATGTATCCAGATAATAAATTTTGGTGTTTTCTGCTCTTCCTTGTAGCAAGCGCTCCCAACAGAAATGTGGCAATGAATCAGCCTCAGTCAGGAGATTGGGGCTTGCCAAACTCCAAAGTGAACAGATTGGAATCTGCAAGTTCTGCCTCGGTGTTGAGAGCAGGACCCGAGTTTAGTCCAACCCTCCTGAGGCCCCCAGAGGGTGCCTGTGTGTCTGGGCTGCCTCGCTCTAACAGCATCTCTGCTACCAGGCCAATGCTGCAACAGCAAATGATTCACATGAGTGAGTTCTGAACTTCTTCTTGTCCTGCACTGCACTGTCTCACTGGGCTCTTGGCAAGCATTCACCATTCATTTTTGGTAAAATGCTAGATTTTCATTGAGAGGCTTTTTGAGGTAGACTCTTATTGTTCCCTCTGACGTTTTATGACTTTTTGGTGATGTTCCTCATTTGTTCTGGGTCCTGAGGTGGGGGATGAGATAATTTCTGTGTGTTTCTTTAGTGCAGTATTTTCTGCTAAATTCCAGGAACTAAATGGCACCTGTGATTCCATATGGGAAGATACTAGCATTGAGGTTAATTCAATTCATCCTATTTGATATAGATGCCTTTTTTTGTTGTCGTTCCTTGCAGGGCCAAATGAGATAAATATTGACATGGGAGGGAACCCCTATGGACAGCCTGGACCTTCTAACCAGCCTGGACTGTGGCCTGACAATATGATGTCCATGGAGCAAGCACCACGGGGTTCACAAAACAGGTAGAATTGGGCAAGGTTTTAAGGTGATTCTAAATACAACTGTTAGCTGTCTGTCAGAAGAATTTATGACCTGGAAATAAAATTGTGTAGCATACACAGTGGGGATAACAGATTTGAGCTAGAATTCCATTTCTGGAATGCTTCAGAAATGTTTCCCCTTCTGCTGGTGATCTGACACTAGATAGTTCTTTTAACCCAGCTCCACAAAAGACATTGTTAACAAAATCTATAAATCTTTGAGTTGGGAGACACAGAAAAAAAGAGATGGGAGACTCTGAAATCGTATCTCTGTGGCACACAGCAGAAACAAGGAGAAAACAGAATTTATATGTGTTCAAGGATGCATGGAAGGTGCCTGGACATTTTAGGATATAAATTTGGGACTTGGGTCTTACTTAAGTCTCACTTCAGCTGTCTGGGTGACTATAATGCTTAATCAAACCCAGGTCAATATATGATATAAAAACTGTTGTTTTCCTTGTAATGGTTGTAATGAATTTCTTCACTGAAAGAATGGTCAGGCAATGGAACTGCCCAGGGAGGTGATGGGGACACCATTCCTTAATGTGCTCAGGATATTGCACCTAGCCCTGTAAGTGTGGTTGACAAGGTGGTATTTTATCAAAGGCTGGTCTCCATGAGGTCTTTTCCAACCTTATTGATTCCTTTACTTTTTTAATTTATAGACAATTAGTTCGAAGCTCTTTGGATGATCTCTTCTGTTCGACACCAAATGTGGAAGGCCAGAATGATGAAAGGGCACTTCTGGATCAGCTGCACACACTCCTGAGTAATACAGATGTCACAGGGCTGGAAGAAATTGATAGAGCCTTAGGAATTCCTGATCTTGTAAACCAAGTAAGTAAACAGATATTTTGGCCATTTATTTTCCAAAGACTAGTATTATTTTGTTACTTGAAAAGAAAGTGAGGAGAGCCTCCTCATTTACTTCATCTCCTCATACCCTCATGTTCATATTCATCCATTTCCCTTTGGAAACCTTTACATTGACTAGTGATTTTCAATGGAGAAGCTCAATATGGATGAAATTTCTTGTGCATGACAAGAAATATAAAGTGGCATATTCTTACAGAAGTTTATTGTAGAATGTCTTAGTTTATATAGGTGAAGTTTGGGGTGTAATTCATTAGAATTCTATATAATTCTATTCTATATTTTATATGTATATATAAAAAATTCTGTTGGGTTCCTTACTAGTCTGCTGTCATCTGAGCTTAGGTTGTGAATTATTTGACTGGCAGTGATGTGGATGCTTCCCTCTCCTTCAGATCTAGGAATTTGAATTTGCATGGCTAGCAAATAGGAAAAAGAAATTCTATGAGTAATTTGGAAGTTGCTAAGACCCACATGATACTATCATTTGTACAAATTGCATCAAAAAGTGCAGAAGGGCTTGAATGGTGACACTGGTTTGCTTGTGTATGCAGTGTGCAGCAGAATTGATTTTAAAAGGAGTTGTTATTATTATTATTAATCACTTAGTTTGGAGACAGAAGTAACAGTAGCTGTCCATGGTATTTCTACCCAAGAAACTGCTGGCTGGTGTATTATGCTGTGTTAGCTTTGTTGCTCCTTTAGGAATTCTCTATGTACTGCTAGTGAAAGCATTTCTGTTTCTGTTGAAGGGACAAGCTTTGGAACCCAAACAAGATTCATTTCAAGCTCAGGAATCTTCAGTTTTGATCGACCAGAAGCCTTTGTTATATGGTCAACCCTATCAAGGGCAAGGGGCAGCAGTGCCAGGTGCTTTCAGCAACATGCAGGGACAGCAGGCATCTTTTAATTCGGTGATGAATCACATGAGCCAAGGAAGTTTTGCTCTGCCCAGCGTTCATCCACGAGCAAACGTGGCCAGAGCTCGGAGCAGCAGTGGCCCAAAGCAGCTGCGAATGCAGCTCCAGCACAGGCTCCAGGGACAGCAGGTAATTGTTGGATCCTTCATGTTTTAGAATAGAATCGTTGTACATGGAATTGTGGTGCTTTACACACGTGACAATGGGCATTACAACAGATGATGGAGAGGGTGGATCTTTTATTTTGGCAGTGCTTCACGTTGATGGCTGTAGGACTGGAAGAACGTTTATCAGGGCAAGTGTTGCTCCTTTGTCAGCCTCCCTAGCTCCAGATTGGCAGCACACAAAAGGATTGCTCGTTAAAACTTTTGTACAGTGTAAACTCTGCATGAGCTCTTCACCCGTGTTTAGGATTTTTTTGGAACCTCACAGATAGCATTAAATCAGAGCTGTATTTCCTCTGTAAATCAGGTGTGACTTCTTTCTCACTGTGTTTTTTAACGAATCATTTGGGCTTATCAATATATGGGTTTGCTTTCCATTTAGTAATTTAATGTCATTTTAGGCATTTTCTTCAGATGAAAGGTGAGAGAACAGATTCAACCACATAGATCTTAATACTAGGTTGAAAACACTGCTTAAAAAATTGGTGCATGATTTCAGCATTGAATTCCCCATGTGAACATGCAGGCTTGATATTAAATACAGTGTACTAATTAAACCAGGAAAACAGAACTACTGCTGTGTGACATGGTGTGTGAACAGAATACATGCAGGTAACACCAAGGCAATGGCAACACACATCTGAAGTGCACAGAGTAGGTTTATTCCATCATCTGGGATTCCCAAAAACAGACACACATGCACTGCTAAGCTTATTTTTTAGCAGGGCAAAAAGCACCCAGGCCTGAGTCCTGCAATCCATATCTCAAGGGCCTGGAGCATGCACAGTGCTCCATCAGGCTGTAGTTTCTCATCTCCAAACCTCCTGTCTCCCTTCCCCACCTTTACAAAGAGGCCCAAGTCTATGGGAAAGGCTTTGAAAAGTCTTTAACAGCATCCTGCTGTCTTTTTTAAGAAAATTCCATTTCTTCTCTGTAGACAGACAACATCCCAGAGGAACCATAAATACCTGAGTTTTCTCAGCTAGAGTATTTTCTGACATCTCCCTGACACTGTTGGTCCTTGACATAAAACAATTCTAAAAACAACTTCTTTTTCTCTCTCCTGCCAATCTTCCATTTTTCAACCCCTTCCTCTCCACACATAGGACTGCAATGTTAGGAAATACTGTGTTCTCTCTTGGTTTTCTGTGACACTAATTGTTTAAAACAAATAGTCTGCTCTTTGTCCCTAAAGAGTGCTAATTTCAAGGGAAATAAAAATCCAAAGCCAGTTAATGCTGCACTGTTTGAAGAGTTTTTCTTTTTGTGTGTTTGAGCTGTTTAAAGAAATAGTTTGGTTCTTCAGGCAGATCAGACAAGGCAAAAATAAGCCATTGCACTTTATGGATTCAAGAGGTCTGTAAAGAAAGTGTTTGTGCAGGAGTTGCCATTACTTTGTTCAGATACTGTTATTTTCAAGCTAATAGTACTAAAATGTCTTTTTCCAAGTTCCTGAATCAGACTCGTCAAACACTTGAAATGAAAATGGAGAATCCCATCAGTGGTACCAGCTCTGGGATGAGACCAGTTATGCAGGCACAGGTGGGATCCCAGGTAAGTACATACCACAGTAGCCATCAATTTAGAATTTCAGCCTTCTTTCATGGCTTTACAGCATTCCTCTTTGGTGGTATTCCTCTGTGTCATTTTTTTAGAGAGGTTTTTTTTTTTTTTTTACCTCCCTTACCTTTACCTTCCTGTGATTTGCAGGGGGATTTGGTCATTAGGTCATGCTGTCAATTCAGTGTGCCAAGTTTTCCCATGTAAAATAGCATAATTTGTTTAGCATTAAGGACAATTTAATGCAAACTCTTGTCTTAATATTTTGATGATTGTTTTTTGTACTGGCTGTGGGTTTTCCTTGACTTGCTGGGTCTTAGGAATGAGTTTGATTGACTCTGACATGATTTTATTTATAAAAACATCTTCTAATATGATTTTTCTTTTCTTTGGGGGGATAGCAGCAAGGTTTTCTTAATGCTCAAATGGTGGCTCAGCGTAACAGGGAACTAATAAGTCACCATTTTAGACAACAGAGGATGGCAGTGATGATGCAGCAGCAACAGCAACCTCAAGCCTTCAGTCCACCACCAAATGTGACAGCCTCAGGAAGCATGGATAGTGCTTTGACAGGCCCTCCAATGGCTCCAGTTCCTTCACAGCAATTCCCCTATTCACCTAATTATGGTACTAGTACTAACATGTTTGGCTTTTTTTTTTTTTTCCCATTTATCTGGTTTTCTTTTCCCTTTTTATTAATCCAAACTACCTAAATACCAATCATTCTGAAAAATGGAATATACTGCTACAAAAAAGGATGACTTTTCCCCTTCCAATCACTGCAAGAAGATAAACTAGAAGTACTAGGTGATAACTGAAGTATATTTTATTTGTCTCCTTTGTTTTTTTTTTTTTGAAGGAATAAGCCAGCAAGCTGATCTTGCATTTAGTAGAGTATCAAGCCCTCCCAATTCAATGCTGTCATCAAGAATTGGACCCTCCCAGAACCCTGTGCTGCAGCACCCTCAGTCAACACCAGTGTACCAATCTTCAGAGGTGAAGGGCTGGCCCTCAGGAAGCATGCACAGAAACAGGTGAACTCCAAGATTAGGATTAAAACTTCTGTTTCAAAAAGTGTCTTTCATTTCTGATGGAAGTAGAAACTATGTTAAATAGCATGTAGCAGGAAAAGGATTTACGAGGTGAAAAAGTAACTTTCTAGTGTCTGTATTGTCCTTCATCCTGCTCTGGTTTAGGAAATAAAATGATGAAGTGTATTTTATGCTTATCTCCATTGATTTATATATTTGACCTCTACAATCTTTGTAACCAGAAGCAACATTCAGTCTTTAAATATTAACTTAATATTCAAAGAAAAAATAACTTGGGAGAGGAGGTGGGGAAACACAAAATATCAAATAGTGTAATAGTAGCCTCCAGAAAGATTACATAAGGCATACACATGCATTTCTAAAAACTCAAATTCCTTTTGGGAGGGGAATTTCCATCTTAAACAGATATTAAGTAAAAAAGGGTAAATGTGAAAATAGTTTTGTTTTTCATGTGGTGACAGCTGGTGCAGGGAAGGCAACACATCAGTGTGTCAACTTCTTGGAAGGTCACTTTATTTATCCTTTTGCCCTTCAGTTCTTTTCCCCAGCAGCAGTTGAGCCATCAGGGGAGCCCAGCAGTGTACAGCATGATGCACATGAACGGCAGCAGTGGCCACATGGCACAGATGAGTATGAACACCGTGCCTATGGCAGGACTGCCCATGGCTCCAGACCAGGTGAGTTGTACATCAACACTGAGGAAAAGATTTTGTGTCTCTTTATGAATTGAGTACAGTCTGCTGCCATCCATTCCTCTGGCACAATCCTGTTCTCAGTTAGCCTGTTTGTATTTGCACCTATTCATTTTATATCCTAAGAGATGCTTTCTTTTTGATGATGCATGAGCAAATTCACAATGAAGCCAAACTTATGCTGGGATTAGCTGTTGACTTTGAATTATCATGGGTAGGATCAAGCCTTAAACCAAGGATGATTAAATACTTCTCAACCTGGAGAAACCCCCCCCAAAAAACCCCATGGACATTGTGAGATGCATCTGCAGCAGATGTTAAAAATTATATTTTATGGCTCTTAGGAGTCAGGCTCAGAATCCTGATAGTGCAGTATCCTTCTGGCAGACACTGATAATGATACTTGCCCTACAATACCTTGGAAAAACTTGTGTATGCACAGCTAGAAACTATGGAAAATTTAAACCCCTCATGTAAGCTGAAAATGCTAAAAACAGGCACTGAAAAGAAAGCTGAAATACAAAATTTTTGTACACTTTGCTACAATCTTTCCACAAAATACCTAGGATGAGCAACCTAATAATAACATAAGCTAAATCTATTCAAGTAAAAAGTACCTCATGAAATTTTGTCCAGCATACCTGAGGGAGCAGTCAGAATAATGAGGATTCTGGGGGATAAGTAAAGTTTTGGAGGACTTTTATAAAAGGCACTTGTTGTATTAAAGAGGGAAATATGAAGGTGAAATGTCAGATTTTCCAAATCTACATGACATAGATACCCAAATAGTGTGTTTAGGAAATTCTAGGACAGCATTTATCCTCTAGAAATTTATTTTCAAAGTGGAGCACTAAAAATCCATTCTTCTGTTTCTAGGCATTGATTGTCAGTAGTTGTTTCTTGCAAATGCACTACACAAACCATTTGTTTCAGCAAAGATGTCTTCTCTGATCAAAGTGTCTTTTCTTTAACAGAAATACTGCTGACATCTAGAACCACATCTTCAGACAAGAATGGCTGAATGCACTAGTGTTAGAAAGAAAAATGACCCATTCTTCATGGCAAGTCATACTGGGCTTACAGGAACCAGTGATAAATTTCCTCATCCAGAGGAAAACAACCCAAAAAAAAAAAAAAAAACCAAAAAACCCTACCCAACAAAAATACATGTTAGTACAAGCAGCCTGTGTATTACTGTATGATGTGGGGCACAAAAAAAAAAAGGTCATTAATATTTTTTGGCACTCTTCCTCTAGGAATGTGAATTTGATAATGCCAATTTAATAGATGTGATGGGTTACACATGATCTGTTTACTGTAGCTGTCCAAAGCCCTTCAGCCCAGGCAGACAAAAGTGCCAGTGACACAAGAAGCAACAGTGGTAAGAATTTCCTGATTTCTCTAATAACAGTATGTGACAGAGAATGTAGTTCTTAGCCTTGACTCTTTTTATTTGAATTCCTGAATATAAATGCTGCTTTTAGTCTCTTACCCCAAGAGTCAGGGATTTCCCAAGTGCAAAATCAATTGGCACATGCTAAGTCCAAAATCGTGTCTGTTGAAGCCATGGGTTAAAAAGAGAGGATAAACAATTTAAATTATTTAAACACAATTGTGACTAATATTTACATAATGCTGTGCAGCTGAGTGCACTTTATAGAAGACTATATAATGGATTAATGCAATGTCTTTGATAAGGACTTAATATGAAGGCAGGGTGTACTCATGTTCCTTCTCAAACACAATTTCTTAAGAGTTATTTGAAAAGACTGCATAATGTAATGTTTTCTGTGTATGAAAATTAGAGCAATAATCTTTAATATTTTTTTTGAAAATAACTTCAGAAAACTCAAGGCAGGACATTGCAGTCAGAATCAGAATTTTGCAGTCTTTTTTTGTGAATAAATTCTGTAAATATGATCTTTAAAATAATGTATTATATATATGACTTTTGTAGGTCACTAACTCGTTTTTGCAGAGTTTGTGAAGCTAAATATTTAACAAAATTCATTTCTGGAAACAGAGTGTAGTTGAGGTCCAAATAGAATTTTTTTTTATTAAATTTAAGGACTTTGAAGCTGGGTGACTTTGGCCCACATATTTCTCTTCTTTGTTCTTCAACACTTCATTTATTTTTACATCTTTAACATAGAGCTTTTTATAAAAAAAAAAAAAAAAAAAAAA